AGAGGCTAGCTACTGTTAAGAAAAGCGATTTAAATATAAACTGGAAAAGAAACCATCTCTTTCCAGACTCTCCTACTTCACATCCAAATTGTCATTGCTAATGACTGCTGCCATAATAAGCCTAAAATGCTGTCTCAATTCCCAAAAAAGTTCAGAGAAATTGTACTGCGTGCTGTAAGTGCAAAAAAAAAGGGTCCAATTCATTTTAAAACTCCCTCCCTACCTTTATTGCAAGTCCTTTTTATTTCAAATATGGTGCTGCTATTGGTAAAAGCAATAACCCCTGACGATGCTTTTAGCAGCCACTACTTTCACAGCTCTTGTTCAAAATGAGGTCTAACACAAAGTGACAGCATGGCTGCAGGTAAGGTTTAGACCGAGTGGAGAGCTTGCAAGCAAACTTAATCACATAAGCAGAGAATCACACATCTGTCAGGTTAATGAGACAATGCCTGGGGATTGATCGAGAGTTTACATACAGCTGGGAGAAGTTTGTCTCCAATTTTATAATCAACAGAGTTGACATGTCTCCCAGCTAATTTCATGTTTAGAAATGAGCTTCATGATAAAAATTTAACTGGACAACACAAGCAATCTGCTTTTATTTTAAGCTTTTATTTTTTCTTGATTAAGAGACAAAGATCACGTCTGCATGGCAGCATGAACTGCCAGGTTTCACAAGAAATGAAAAAAAAAATGCTGATAGGGCGTAACTGATGCTTCCATCTGATCTTACAATCAATACCAAACAGTGTCACCAGCAGACAGTTAGGGAAACTGGAGGTCCTCCAGATTTAGGACTGACAGAACAAGGCAGGAAGGTGAGTCTGGGGCTACTTTGATGCCACCTGGTTGTGATTGACACAACTGTGCATGTTAACCCTTGGGCATATTTAGCCTCATGGTAGCTGCAACAATTATATTGCTAAACATTATTTAAAGATTGTACTGTGAACTGCATTCAAATACTAAACTCTCATTTGAAAAAAATAAAACTAAATATTTAAGGACAATCGTGGGATCAGTAATTCTAATTAAAAAGAACTTTACATAATTAAATCTGCAGTAGGCAGCTATTGATATGGTTTCCTTCACTTTAACGTTGAAAAATGTAGAAATTATTAGAGAGCAATATTTCTATTTAGTTACAATTTGTAAAGAATGTATGCAGAAATGTATGGAATTATTTAAAGCAACAATTTATGGACGACTCAAAATGTATAGTCGTTTTCTAATTTTAAGTTCTGTTTCCAGTGTCTGAGTTGGGATCATATTTCATTATACTCCTGCTAATTATCACTGGCAAATATGTATAGTTAAATTTGGACTTTTCAAATCTACGGCTTAAAAATCATTATATATATATATATAGACCTGTCCAGGGTGTACCCCGCCTCTCGCCCATTGACTGCTGGAAATAGGCACCAGCACCCCTCACGACCCCAATTGGGACAAGCGTGCCAGATAATGGATGGAGATATATATATATATATATATATATATATATATATATATATATATATATATATATATATATATATATATATATATATATATATATATATATATAAAATTTGTTTATTGAGGAAATAGATTAGTCATATACAAGAAAATACAAAATTTTCCTCATTAAATTTTCTTGTTTTTGTTAAACATCCTTACTGAAGACCTATAAACCAACAATAAAAGCTATGATATGTTAAGATATGTGTTTACATTCTTCATGTCTATCTCTATCTCATGTCTAAGTGTTATTTTTCAATTTAATAAAACAGACATGATGATAATTCATATGATTTTTACACAATTTTGTTTTACTAGTTAAAGTGAAAACATCAGTTTTATAATTGCAATATGCAGACAGTTAAGTCAGGTCTTGTTGCGTTGGGACACCACTTTAAATTCCGCTTACAGGGTTTGTTTCAACTTTGGTCCATCCTTTTAACGAGTGAATCATTGGGGTTTAAATTTGACAGCAGCTCTCACTGTCATTCAAAATTGATTTGTGTAAACGCCAATTAGTGAAACTTTAGACATCAAAAAGGTGCTAGTTAAAGATGATTACAGGGTCTAGACTGCAGAAAAACAGAAACTCTCTCTCTTTTGACATCAACTGTAAAAACAAATTAGACTCTGAGCTATTAGGGTAAAACAAAGTAGAACAGTTTTTTTTTCACATTCCAGGTCGTTTGGTGATTAATTGAACAAATTTAGTCATGTTTCTTATACCCACCTCAAAGTGTTGTGCTCCTGTTATAAAGTGTTATTTTATGCGACTATGGCTCCAAATTTTAATGTCTGAAAAAAGAAATCGGTTTAAATAAAAGGTAAAAAGAGAACAGACTTAAAGCCTCTGCTGATCATTTTATCTGATAAGCTTTAATCTGTTTGTAAATGTGTGCCTCAATCTGTGCTCCTGTTAGAAAAACAAAATGTTTAGATTAAACATATATATCTTAATTGCTTTAGCATGTTCATCCTGATATGTAAACATAATAAGATAACCTTCCTCTGGCTTTTCTTTAGATCTGCCTTGCTGGCAGAAGAATTTCATGAAAGAGGTAAACACAGTTGATTGCAGTAAATTTAATCTGACACGAAAACAAAAACCAACCCCAAAATACTCGAATAATCCTGCCACTTAAACCAAAGTATTTCATCAGAACCAGAGAAAAATTAACAACACGAGCAAGAAGGTTATCACATCCCCTAACGTGCTAATGCTGTAAGCTGTAGAGTGAAAGGTGCGTTGCAGGTGTGAAGCATTGGACGTCATCTGATTCTTAAAAATAAACAGTAATCGGACACACACACAAATGCTCAAATTAACCGGCGCTGCCTCTAGTGAGGCAAACAGAACTCAAGTGGTTTCATGTTGAGCATCCCTCTGGGTTAAATTATATTAGAACAAAGAGAAACATCATTTCATGAATAGAAACACACCATTAAGTCTATATTACCAATATGGCTTGGAAAAACCTATTGATTCATACTGATGCTTTCAATTGGTTAAAGATTTAACATCTAATAGTTGAAGTTGATTTTGTTTTCCCACTTACTCCTCTGTGCGTGCAGTGTAAACAAAACTTGTAATCATTTGCTGGCTCTGGAGTGTTACAAATTAAGAACTTGGCAGCTAAAGCCTCACAAAAGACATGTGATACATTCACACTTATGTAAGCCAGCTTGCTCATATGGGATCTAATGGTTTGTAAGCTCTTGGATTACATTTCTGCTTTCACAGATAACATTTTTGTAATGAGGGTAAAGTCGATCAGATAACGTCTCAAAGAGGTCAGCTGCCTAAAGGCAGTCTCGCTCGAACACATTTTAAACATCAAAGATAGCTTGCAGTCATAGAGCTGAGCTGTACATTGTTATCTAATTGCTCTACGAAACTCAATAAACGCTTACAATATCAAACATCATGCAAGTTTTATTTGAGACATGCTCAGCTCCGAATCTTCATGAGTAAGGTGTTGTCTAAACGATTTTTAAAAAAAATCAATAATGCACAATAATAAAACTGCTAAATCAACTCTGAGAAAATGGCTTTACATTATTCATATAAAGCAGGAACAACCTTTCAGAGTGTCTGGTTGGATCTGAAAGAGGAAAACCACTGAAATATAAAAGGACGTATGGAGACGACAGTATTGAGCAGCCTGCTACTGCCACAGCAGCAGAAAGGCTTTTCCACTCACTAGCTTTCCTTTTTTTGGTGCAAATTATTAAACAGAGGCTCAAGAGAGAAGCAGAGAAGGTATCTTTTGAATAAATTGCGTTGTGCACTATGAGCCAATTTTCCAGAGGCAGGCTAATAGACCTGTGGAAATTGTTTATGCTTTTCATCCATCCTCCTGTCACCATTCATCCACACTGCTGCCAGAAAATACAATGACACTGTTTCCGAGACAGCAGGGGAATGTTCAACTGAACACACCCCAAAACCACATCCCTGCCAAACTGTGTGAACTGAGAGTGTGAGCCATCTGATTTTAAACTGGAGTCAAAGCAAACAGACTTAAAAAAAAAAAAAAAAAGGCTTAACAGGGTAGGAAATACAATTTAGTGTTAGTGTGAGAGTCAGTATACAAGTTGTCAGTAAAGCAAGCATATCCTTAAAATGTTTTTGCATTTTGCCACTTTAGAAACATAAACCCAAGTAAAATCATCAGTTAAACTCATAGAATAACCAAAATTAACACAATATAAAACTTGTATTTTATTTTTTTTCAATAGTAAAATTTGAATGGTTCATGTATTAAAGCTGAAGTCTGTAAGTTTTTAAAAATCACTTTTTTGTCATATTGGCTAAAACTGTCCCTATGCCCAGACAGCAGTACATGTGATATGTAACCTGTGAAAAAAACTGCTTCAATTGGTATCGCCTACTGCCTGTATTTCAATCTGGAAAGAATAATTCGGGACGAGTCAAAACAACCAATCACAGCCAGAGGAGCGTCTGATGGAGTGTCAATCACAGCTCACACACGCTGAATCCCGCCCCCCCTTCTGGTCGCATGCGGTAGCCGCGCAGATGCTGTGAGAGGGGTGGAGCTTGAGTGAAGCAGAGAGGGTGGGGGAGTGGCGTGAAACCTGTTTTTCTTCAAATTTTCAGTCGAAGTCTACTCTCTCCTCAATGTTACAGACTGCAGCTTTAAGCCCTATTATAATTCCACTAGATCAGGCATCCCCAAACTCGGTCCTCAAGGCCCCCTGTCCTGCAGGTTTTAGAGGTCTCCCTGCTTTAGCACAGCTGGTTATAATGATTGTAGTAGACCAAAAGCCTGTTAATCAGCTTTCAATTAAAATCAGCTGTGCTGGAGCAAGGAAACCTCTAAAACCTGCAGGACAGAGGGCCTTGAGGACCGAGTTTGGGGATGCCTGCACTAGATGATTTGCATTTGGGATTCCCCAGAGTCCATCGATTTATTCTGCATAAAAATCCAACTAAGAAAGGCCTCACAGCTTGGTTAAAATGACTTGACAAATACCAAATAACATAAAAGAAAGGTTTATTATCAATTTGTTATAAAAAGCGATGAAAAGGGTATTGACCAGCTTTAAACACTAAGACCTGGGCTCTCAATCTAAACTGACAGTCAGGAAAAGGAGAGGTTAAAGAACAAATTGTATGGCAACTCTGGAGGAGCTGCAGAGATCCACCTCTAAACTGGTTGCATAACTTCACAAATCTGGCCTGGGTAGAAAATGCCTCGTACAAATCCGACTAAGAACACACCTACTTTACAGAGAAACATGGTGGTGGCAGTATAATTCTATGGGAAGGTTGTTTTCCCATGGCAAGGGGAAGGCTGGGCAAAGTTGATGGTAGCTACAGAAATTTAAAGTCAATTTCAGTTTATTTTCCATCAAATTTGTTTGAGTGAAAGTTATCTTTTTGTGAAGAATGGGGAAGTGGCTCAGTATGTATGAGAAGCTGGTAAAACACATCCAACACTTTTAGCAAAAATATAGGCTTAAAAGTAGTTATTTCTCATAACAGATTTCTATTTTCTCTCAAATGTAAAACATCATTTTCATGTTTTCTGGTCAATTACATAAATTCCCACAAAATATTTTTTTTTTTTACTTTTTTGGAATGACTATGACCTGGATGACAGGATCTTCACCAGCATATTTCCCACAAACTACTTTTCAGTTTGTAGCTGCTGAGGTTTGTTGGTATTATTTGCAAAAACATGTAAATTTTTCAGACCAGTCAAAAAAGAATTAAACAATTCTTTATTTGTTACTTTATTACTCAACAAGTCCAATGATACAGATTAAGGTCAGTAAGAGCTCTGAGCGTTACACAAGAGACAATCAGGACAAAAAAAAAAAAAATCAAGCATCTTCAAAGAAAGTCTCCAGGTTCTCCGTCATCTCAGCCAGATGTTGGGATTCAATCACCTCTGGGTCTGGAGCGGCGGAGGATCCTCTGGTGGCAGGGTTTTCTTGTGACCTCTGCGATGTGTCCGTTTCTCGCTTCATCTCCTTCCCTCCACCCAAAACTTTCTGGCTCTCTATGAAGTACTGGTTGGGGTGGCTGAGAGAGAAAGCACTATCCTCAATCTGTTTAGAAAAAAGTAGAAAGGAGGAGAGGAAGGTCAAGAGAGGGTATCGAGTGTCCATTCTAACAAAGACGGCAGGTTGACTGACTGATTTAGTGCAATGTCACCTTTAATGAAATGATCATTTAATATCTCTCACCCTCTCTGGTTATGATGAGAAATGTTTAACCTGAATTCTTCCCATTACAGGCTTTCAGACAAAAAAACTAATCCAAGTCACTGATGGTTTAAATAATAATAAATGTTATATTTTCATGTAGAGAAAGGTTATCTAGAGGAGCTAAAGCATCTGCTGTGTGACAGATTACAGATACTGGCAAAATTAAAAAGAAAAACTTTGAATTTTGAATGCACTAGAAAAAAAACTCAGAAAAATTATTTTGAGTACAAGATTGTGTAGAATAACATCACCTAATAATGACTGTAACAGCAACATAAACGGTAAGGATCCTGGTTTTCTAAGCTGCAATAATACAGCTGACGGAAACTAAAACACATGAGAATTATCCCATAGCAACATAATTCATTTAACAGAAGAACTTAAGACCTTGTTTTTCAATAGGCTGCTTCCAAGTATCGAATTTATTTACATGTCACGACAATAAGCAAACAAGAAGCGCAATCCTTTGACAGTATTTTAGATCAGAAGTTTTCAGTTTTGGACCAGAATTCATCTCTTCTTAACTAGCTTATTAAAATGCCATGTTAAATTATTCTTATCTCTGCTATTGGATTTACAAAGTAGCACCAAGTTCACCTGAAAGGTTTTTCAGTGCTGAATTTAACTAAATCTAAACGGTATAAAAATAAACATCTTTCCTAAAAATTCAAGACGCATTATCCCATTATGATTACCCGTAATCGAAAAATCTTTGTTTTTTTTTCTTTATATTGAAAGGAAATGGATAAAAAAAACCTAAAAAATAACATTTCAGTAAGTATCAAAAGCCTTTGCCTAATGTTTAATTTTTGTATTTTACTAGAGTATAGCCCCTTTTATGAGCAACCAAATGGGAGCATGTATTACTGTCTTACTTCTTTACAAATATGCTCTAGACTCAGTTTCAATTAAATACCAAAAGCACACTTCAAACTCGTTAGCTGTAACAAAAATATAAAATAAAAAACTAATAAAAAGACATTAAATTCCACCAACAAAATGTAGAAATTAAGCGAAAAGGGATAACTTATGAATCAAAATATAGGCTTACATTTAGAAAAACTTAAAATCACATTAACCTTAATAACAACAAACAAGAGCAAAAATCTATTTTGTATTCAAAATCACATATGAGTGTAAAGGGTTTCTCTTCTTAGATTATTGATATTTCAAAAGTAAAATCGATTAAAATAGGATATAATAGGTTAAAATGACAGAATGGAGCAATAAAAATCAAATGTTCAGACGGTCAGCTAACAATGGATGTAATAAGGGTTTGTAGTGTTTCCGCCTGAGATATAAACAGTAACCGAAAGGGTGACAGTCAATTCCATCTGTCAGCACAGTCTGAACTTACATTGTGGGTCAACTCAAAGTATTTCTGGCACGCCAGCTGATAATGCATTCCTTTGACCAGCTCCAGGATCTGCAAGGAAAGGTAGAAGTTACACCTCAGTCAGTGAAATTATTTCCAAAGGGCAAAGAATCATTCTAACTGGATTTAGGTTTATGAAAAGCACATTTTAACTAAATCCTATTAACTGTTTTAATAAACTGCTCAGACTTTGACCAACTTCCTGGAGAAACAAGTTTCTGTGCAAAACTGAAATCACTTGGTCTCCTAAGAGCAGCTACTTTTAAGACCTTAATATAACTAATTAAAGCCTTTTTCAGCAGTTATATTCAAGGTGTTTATTTAAGGGAAAACAAATGCAAAAAGTTCTCCTTAGCTCAGATTTGTTTACATCATAATTCCCCAAGCTCCTACTTGCCTGCCTCTGGTGTAATATTGCTACAGGCATTCTCGTCTCTACAGCTGGTGATAGACCAGAAATGAGCTATGCAGAATCCCTCCCAGAAATTACAGTCTCAGAGCAGTTTAAAACAGTTTTAGTTAGAACAAAAAAAATAGTGCTGTGGTTGAAAAGATAAAGGATTAATAAAAAGTAATTAGGAAAGGGAAGGAAAACAGCAGCTGTTCATTGAGATCCATTTCAAATTTCTCTCAAACAAGCATGCTTATATATATATATATATATATATATATATATATATATATATATATATATATATATATATATATATATATATATATATATAGTATGAAGTGCTTTAGGGGTCCCCATTTAATCTAATGATTCAAGACAGATTGAGACGAAAAAAACAAAACAAAAAAACAATAACTTTGGTTTTATTACTGTATGCGACTTAACTCTGCAGATCCAAACACAATAACATTTGCTAAGGCATCACCATGATGATCATGATACAGCTTCAAGAGCATCATTTGACCTGCTGCTCGCACCGTCAACAACTTATTGTCTAATTATCGTTCAATATAAAGGAAGTCCACTTGAACAAATCTCTAAGGAGAAAACATAATTAAAGTAGTCGTCTCTGCCTTTAATATTGTTTTAATTTTTTTTACACTATTTTGTCTTTCACTCTAAGGTACTCTAAAAACAGTGTTTAAAAATAGCTTCTGATCACATTGATAATTCAAACAGCTCAACACATAATCTTATCAGGGACATAAAGATTCCCAGAAGCTCTCTTCAATTTCACTAGCTTCTTTTTCAGCTTGCCCGTTTATTACAATCAATTGTAATCTCGTTCGGCCTTGTTTGAAGACATGGTGCTGCCCTGTTTCACACCAGGAAAACTAAGCTGACTCACTTTAAATGGTCAATGACAGAAGAGTTGCTGGTTCCTAAATGTTTTATTTGACAGAAAGTTCCTAAATCGCTTCCTGGATTTTTCCTCTGCAACTTTAAAAAATTTTTTTTAGAAACAGATCAGCTTGTAAAGTGAGACTTTGTTGTCAGACTAGATGAAACCAACCTGGTTTACTCCACTGGGAGACACTTTGTAGAACTGAAGCTTCTGTTTCAGCAGCTCTGGGTCACTGTGACGGAACGGACATCCTGGCAGGACGGGAACAAAAAATAAAAATAAAAAAAAAAAAAACAGGGGTGGGGTTACTTTTCCTAAATACATTAACCAAACAAGCTGCACTCTTCAGTGTGGAGGCAGTAACTGAGGGAAGAAGTTTGAGGAAGCACAAAATGCTCAATATGCTTCATTGATAAAGAAGAATTTCATTGTAAGATCTAAAGAAGTGTATTGGGTTGCAACTTCAAATCCAGCTCATCTAGAAAAACAATAGATAATCTTTTTCTCCAATAGCAGCTAACTCACCATGATAGTCGCCTTGGCCGGGTGGGTTTGATAAAATCACCTTCATGCAGCTGTAGGGAGTGTAGTCTGCTCGCTTGCCTTCTTTGCCAAACATGTGGCGGATGCCGTAGGCATATGCTTTATCAAACTACAGAGAGACAAAGGAGGGGGTACAGGAGGAGAGGGCATTAGTAAGGATGAGAGTGTAACAGGGACAAGGTTGGGGTGAAAGAGGCTCTGTCATTCATCATGTCAGTTTTGAAGGGAAGTTTTCCACTGTGAAAGATAGAGCTATTAGAGAGAACCTGCTGTAGAGGTGTTAGAACAGTCCTGATAGCTGCGTTATGGATGCTTTAATGAGGCCATCCTTCTCTGGGCTTTTTGCCCCTCGTCCTGAACAAAACTGACACGACATGAAACGTGTAAAAAAAAAAAAAAAAAAAATCAAAGTAGAAATGGAGGAAATTTAAGCACATCCCACAAGTTTAATGTGTAAAAACACTACATTCCTATATTTGTCTCAAACAGATGGAACTAACAGAGCTTTAAGAAGCTGTGTTAATCAGTTTCAAGCAATATAATTAAGACATTGTGGAAGTGGATCTCCTTGCTTGTTCAGGGGACTTTGCATCCTCAAAGTGAAAGTACATCCATAGTACAGGGACTGAATTAGCCAATGATGAAAACGATTTAAACAATTTCTGACAAGTTTAAATATAGCAACAAATGCATTACACGCAGGGTGATACATTATTTATATATTATTTAGATGACTTTGGTGCATCTGATAATTAAAACATTTGATTATATTTCTTAGAATCATGAAATTTAATAATTTTCATTACAGAAAAACAGCGGTGCAGTGTGACATGGTGGTGATCAGCCTGTGGCTCTAATGGGGTAGATTTCATAAACAGTAGCCGTCAGCTTGACTCTATTGTTGGATCAACCATCTAATCTTCTACTTCAGAGGTTTAGGTCAGTTTTTTTGCTAACCAGTGAAAAAACGTGATGCTCATTAAAAAACACCCTTTTATTTTTGGGTTTTCTTGGTACCTTAGAAGGCACCAAGTTATGTTGTAAAAGGAAATCAGAAACTTCAGATAGCTTTTCAGCATGGGGTGGGGGGCTATCTACTAAGACATTTTAGAGCATTGCATGCCCTAAAATGTCTTAGTAGATAGTGAAGCTGAATTTGTACTCAACAGAAAACCCAGCATCAGCACCATCATGGCTGTGCAGGCATGTATAACTTTCCCTTAAAACAGCATTCCTGAATTAAAAATCCTTTCCAACTGTCAGAATCTGAGCTTTTCGTTTTTTCAATGGCCAAGCAATGCATAAACTATATCACCGTAAGAAAACCATGTACGTATCTGTGACAAAGTAGGTGAGAACACCATTTGTCTCAGTTTATACATTTGTTGTTTTCTTGATTTAACCATCTCTTTATTCTGTAGTTTGCATTCATATACTATCCCGGGTTTGTTTATGTTTGCATTTTTAAAGATCATTTAGTATAACATCTTGGTTTAAATCAGGTTATAACTTTTCTAAGTTTTTTTTGATTACTTAACTTTTGTGTTCTATTTTGGTGAACTTACCTTACCTGTCTTTTAGGAGGAAGTGTGACCAAAATATGAATGCAAACTACAGAATAAAGAGATGGTTAAATCAAGCAAACAAGAAAACAACAAATGTATAAACTGAGACAAATGGTGTTCTCACCTACTTTGTCACAGTATCTCACTTTTTGATTTGAATTGCTGAATAAATGACGTTCTGATGCGTTGAAATACACTGGTTGTTAGAATAGCGAGTCAGTTGATAGTTAACCAACAACAAATAAAAAAATTTAAAAAGGTTGTGCTCTATCTAAATTGAATTTGGCAGGTGTGAATATTTGATAGATCATCATTAAAAAAATTAGTTTGGAAATGGAAAAATACTTGATGGCTGCTTTAATAGCTTTTGTGGGTTTGCTGCCAGTTCCTCTGGTCCTGCATTGGTGCTTCTCTTCATATGTTCAAAGAGTCTGTCTCTTTCTGTAAGTAAAACACTGATTATGGATTTTAAAAAGAGAAAGAAAATTCATAAAACCCAACTTCAAAGAGGCAGAACTAATCCTTTAATCTTTTTAAGAGCATCTCTGACATTTTGCATTGAGGTTTAGATGAAGTCAACTTTTACATGTCTGATTTTTCCAGTCTGGAGAAACCTACGTACAGATTCTCAAGAAGCAAAAACATCAAAGTCAAGAACATAAACTAACCTTGAATAGAATATTTCAAAGTGTTAAAATTTAGGAAACTTTTGGAGAAGCACTTTCCTTTTATAGAAGTTTTCTGAGGGGAAATAATACATTTGTGACTCTACCTCCTAAAGAGAAAAACATAATTGTAACACAGTGCTCTGACAGCAGACTATAATCACCAGAACTGCACCCACACATTAATGTTGCAATAAAACCTTTGAACTTCCTAATGTGACAAGCTGCAATGGCAATTTAAAAACCCATCAAATCTTCTTAAAGTATGATAAATCAGACATTAATTATGCAGAGCTTCTAAGGATTCAAGAGGCCACTTCCTGATTTAAGAGCGCCATAGTCCACAGGCACTAAAGTGTGTTTAATACGTATTTTGTGAACTAATGTGGATATAAAAAGGATCCTAAGCGGTATGCTCATCCACTACAGAGGTTAAAGGAAAATGATGACGCAAAGCTAAATGTAGCTCCTTTTTTTTTATTGCTTCTTCTCAATGCAAACTATGCAGCAGATCATTTTGCATGAGTAATAAAGATACTAACACAGAAAAATCTTAGATTTAATTGGTGGAAACATCTCTGGTGCAAATGTTTGCTTATAAGGGCCATTTCCCTGCAAGTCATCACACAGGCAGCAGCGCTTTCAAAATAGATTCTTATTTTGTTCTTTTCAACAGGACTCTAAGGGTTTGTAAGCTACAAAGATAGCAGTTTGAATATATAATAGTACAGTTCCTTAAAAAAAAGTTGTTGATAGAAGAAGTAAAGTAAGAGGAACTACATCAGGTTTTCTTTCTTTACTTACTGATATGTTGTGAAAGTTTCTGCAAACTATGAAAGATCCGCTGCTTCTGACTATCCCTAAAACCAGAACATTTGCTGTAGCATCTCCTACATTGTGGAATAGGTTACCCCTAAGAATCTGACAGGCCTCCTCTTTTGAAAGCTCTTTTGAAAGCACATTTTTATGCCTTGGCTTTTGACACTGATCTAGTTTAGAATGGCACTACTCCTGGTTTTATGTCCATTTTTAATTCTTATTTTTTTTTAGGCTTGTTTAATGTACAGCACTTTTGTTACCCCTACAGTTTTTAAATGTGCTATAGAAATGAAGTTAGTTGGATAAAAGCTGCAAAGTCAGTCTTATTATGATGTGCTTTAGAATCTCAGTTCATATGAATCCATTTGGTTTGCAGTTTGTCTCAGTCATTCTCTATCAAGAATCATAGGGATCATGATGTTCCCAGCAACATCTATTTTGGAAAAATCTGTTGAGACGAGAGGTGAGGATAGTTACTAATGCCTTGTTGAAATATCTATCCATCCCTCTTATCCATCCATCTAAAGTGTTGTATAATAAGCCTGGATAGTAAAAAATTTATATCAGACTCCCTCCTGCTTTTTGGGGTTTCCTTGCTACATTATTTCAACAAATAATGAGGTCTTGGTTTCTGCATTCAGGCTTAAACAGAAGAGGCAGCCCATCTCTGAAAAATAGGCTTAAAAATTTGCTGTGGGATTATGCTCAGGGTTAGATCTACATCAGGTGATTCCTGAGTCATATATTTAGCTAAATTGTTAAAGCTCCCTATTAAGGGATGAGAATACATTCTACACTGTGCTTCAGGTTAAGGATCTTAATATTTTCTTCCATAGGAAATATATTCCTGTCCTTCAAAATAATCTTTTATCCCAACTCTTGCCGATGTTTAAACTGTCGTATAATCTCGATTATGACAGATTATATAAGCATAGATTTAATTTAAATATAATTTTTAATTGTAACTTTAATTGATATGAAATCAACTTTGTAGTAATTTTCTCTGAAAGGGCATATCATGCAAAACAAAGTTTATTTCCTGTTTTTTCAAACCTTAAAATTCTGGGGCAATATAGAATGAGGTAGGAGCCCCCTTAAAGTGCACTTATAATTCCGACCAAAAACAATGTTTTAGGAAAATCTCTTAATGTTATTCTTTTAAACCAAATCAGCTGGAGTGCCATATTATTGGTGCTCTCCCGTTTCTCCAACAAAACAAACTTGCTTCAGCATTAGAATGATCTCTGCCTTAGGTCAAAACTGTTCTCTAGTCTTGCCCAGGAAGTACCTGAAACTTAGAGTGACGCTTTAGATGGAAAAAAAACACTTCAGTTATTGGGCTTAAAACCCCTTTTGTGCTTTTAAATCTGCTAAATTTAAATTAGGCCAAATTTACCCATCTGTAGTCCATTTTCTTATTCTCATAATCTTTTATTACAGTTTAAACTAGATATTTACACATATTTTATAAAATAAACCTTTTTCTCCCTACTGAACAGTAAAACTGAATTAAGTTCTAATACTTGAGGACAGTTAGGATCAGCAAAGTATTTTTTACTTCTTCATTTTAAAACAAACATTTCCTAAATGACTTGGGTGAAACATTCATGGTAGACTTCATCTAGCTTCAAGCAATAATTTGCTAAAACTTGGCATATTTCTCTAGACTGTAGCAAATGAAATAAAGTTGTAGTTTGCCTTGATTATCTTTAGCTCGCTGGTTCTGCCCATAAAAATCAAAGCCCATTCAGACCTTTAAGATGGCCTCTTCAAAACACTGACCAATAACTTGACAGTTTAAAAACCCATTTGTGTCTAAGATACAACTTTCTGTATCAACTCTTGCTTTAAACTTTATATTTTTATTATATTAGGTCATTATTTTTGGGAGCTGGACAGTTCATCATCCAGTAAAACATAATGCTTCTTTGTAAAAACACACAAGCTGTGGTTAGAGGGCAGGTTGACCAAATTCAAACAAGGCTGCAGTCTCACTTCTGTGATCACAAACTGGGTAATGTTTACCTCATGATTTGCCATGTCAGCTGTAGTGTTTTGGTGGTAATCTGGCTATTTCATGTTGCCTTTGGGGTTTTGGGTTACTCCTCACCAAGTGACCTTTCAGTGGATGTGGGTATAAGGACTAACTTCACTGTGGATAATGACACTCCTACCAGCTGCACTCAGCATCTTCAAAATCTTATTTGCTTTGAAATTATGCATGCACGACTGAAACCGACTCATCGGAGACAAGTTGGCACCGACCTGAACAAAATGACAGTTGGATGTTTTCACTTATATATACTTTTTTTGAAAAAATGAATTGGTCACCTTGAATTGATCTGAGATTTATACGAAGGGAAAAGCAAAAAATCCACAAGTTCCTGATACCTAAGATGATATCTTTTGATTTTTCTATTTTATAGAAGGAAGAAGCGAGATGTGCAAGTTTAAAACTCATCCACTTCTTGGCCAGTGAACACAATTTTTTATCCATTTTAAATTTACAAAGCCACGACTTCATCTGTAAATTTGAAGGGATATTACTTACTGTAAATTGCATGTTCCAAAATCTAAACAAGGCTAAAAAATAAATAAAAACGTATCTCGGTAGTCTGGCACCCAGAAAACAGCCCTACTTTTTCTTTCTGACCTGAATCAGAAAATGATTAGTCAGATTTGATGTCAGCCAAAAAGCATCCTTTATTAGCCCTGCCCCAGCACTAATCTAAAAATGGTGTCAGCTGTAGAAAGAAATTAACTCAAAGGTCTGTAAAACACGTAGTTCAACAGCAGCCCCACCCCAAGGCTACAAAACACTACAGAAAAGTGGCACAAAGACACTCCTCCAAATGAATAGGCCAACTTCTGTGGCAAGAAGAAGGGATAGATCAAGTTAATTTCATCAATTCTCCCTCTCCCGCTAGTCTAATATTACATCGCCTCTTCCTCCGGGCCTTCCTTTCGGCATCGCTGCCTCTCATCTTCCTTCTCTCCTCCTGTCGCATACTAATGAGAAGGCTTTGTGCAGCATGCCACAAAGTGCAGCTCCTGACACAACACATACATCATTGTGAGAGCTGCGAGCTGGTCAGCACCATTCAGATGCCTCCGCTGTAGAACAAAAGCAGGGCTTTGGATGCTATACATGGAAACTAAGACCCTTTAGCAAAGGCCCTCAACAAAAGTCCTGTATTTAAGCCCGACTGATGGCGAGATGTTAAGAAAATAAAAAAAAAAATACATCAAGCATCACTTGAATACAGTAAGGGTCAGTCATTTCCTTTTTTCTCTTTTAAAATGCATTTTTCTTTCAAATGGGAAAAAGGTTCCTTTAAAGTTCTTGTGTCGAATAGAAAAGTCTGATGAAAATAAATTAATCGTACTGAATTTATTCTTTAGAGACCAAGAAAAAAAAAAAATCACAATTCAAAAATAAGTTTGCTTTATAAAAGGTTTTTGCATAAACTTTGAAAAATTTTAACTAGCTATAAGGCTTTTGTTTACTTTCCAATTAGTAAGGCAGCCTTGGAAGCTCTGACAATTTTTCCTTCCAGCAGAATTATTGCTTTTTTAATTAAATCAAATAGCAGGAGACCATTTATATCAAATAAAGGCTTGCTCTTACATCTTTTGTTTCCAGAACAATTGCATTTCCTAAAATTGAACCTTTGAAATGTTTCAAATATAAGAACCCTTTTTTTAAACAGCCGTTTTTATTAGGTTTTATTATTGAATGCATGTGGTAGCGACCACAAAGTCATACATTTATTAATAGTTGAAGAAAATTATACCACTTTAAGCATGTTTCAAGATTACTTATATAAAAAACAGGATTTAATAATTCGAAAACATGTTAATCTTTATCAAAACTCTTCCAAATCTCTGAAATCCCAGACTCTGCTGGTAGAGGGATTCAAACAAAGTCACATTTAATGAAGAGCATCAGTACACATACATTTTTAAACTTTGTTATCCATTCTAAAATATAATTATATTTTCAAGAATAAATATCTAACCGTCTTCATATTTTGGGTCAGTGTCCTGCTCAGAGATGATGCTCCGCCTATCGTTGGGCAAAAAACAAAATCAATTTTATTGATTAATTTGTTCTCATTTATGAAAACATCTGTTTTCTTTTTAGTTGTTTTTTTTTTTTTTTAATCAGTAATAAACCTTTGGGGTTTGGAAGTTTGGAGTGGCATCATCCCGTCATTTGCATGTGCAGTAAGTGGGAGTGTTAACAGGTTTGATATATCCCATTAAAAAGAGCTCTTTTTAAATATACGTACTTATTTATTAAAGAGGCCAAACCATTTGTCAATATTATTACCTTCAACTAAAGTATCTTAGTCACATTGCAATGCCTTGTTACAGCAAGACAGTCTCATTTTTGAACACATCTCCTGACTTTTTACTGCATTTTGAGTCTTATTGGTGTGATATATTCAAAGTGCCTTATGCTACCTTAAATTAGCAAGTGGTGTTTAACCTAAGAAGGATCATGCTTCTAAGCATATTTCACACCCTTTTTCTGTGACATGACCTAAAACAGCAAAAGCTGCAAATCTGTTTTTTTCTTTGCAAGATTTAACTATAAATATCAGTTTATTTGGAACAGATGCATTGCTTTTCAGAGAAGCTCTAAGACTTGTTAAAAATACTTAAAGACCCTTTGCCAACAGGCTTTTAAGATCTAATTTAAAATGTGCATTGATGGCTCTGAACAAATGAGAATATTCCACCCAGAAGTGAATACCAGTAATGTCCCAATGAAAGTGTTTCGTTCCTAATCTGATCAAGCATCTCCTCTTCTGCTCTACTAGCTCTGTTTTATGAGATTCATGCAGCTCCTGGTAATACGGAGCCACACAATGAAGAATTGATCCTATTAACAGGGAAGCTGGTTAATAACACTGCAACAATCAGAGCTCCAAGTTTCTGCAGCAAAGCCAATTAAACTTCACATCAGATAGCATGCTTCTTACATGGTTGCAAACTAATGTCATACTGCCAGCCGGACAGAGCAGGGGTTAGTTACCCTTGCTCTAACATTTTCAAGGGGAAAGTTAAATTCCCCAAATTGTTATCCACAGAGACTGGCAGGTCATCCAGGGTGCTGAATTTAATATAATACCTACCCTGTAATTCATTTTGCTATTTGCTAGTCCTGTGGAGATTGAACTATTCTCTTTGAAGCTTTTCCCCCCACAGTGTATTTCAGAAGATTTTTTGGCTTCTAAAAAAGCAGAAAGGAAATACAACTTCAAAAAATTGTTTTTCAGCAAACCCTAACCAAAGTCAGCTAAATGAGCATGATATATCAAGCCAAGCTTTTAATATTAGTCGTCTAATTTAATCAGTAGAACTAAACGAGGCTCTGTCTCTGCAGCACGAACCAGTGACTGATTTTGAAATAGTTCCACATAACAGATGTTTGGATTGTGTGGCTGTTGCAACATGTCCTGCCAACACTCTTTAAAGCAGCTGCATGAAGCTCAGCTGGTTGCGGAAATGAGCAAACAGAACCAAAGGACACCAGTCCTGCCCTAATGTAAGGCTCCATGTCAAAATACAAGCATCACTTTGGACCTGATATGTTTCTAAAATGATATAAAAAATGTAGGGAGTGATATTTCCATTTATTAGCATTAATAAATTATAAGTTTCCCCGAGTCGCTTCATGCTGTATGTCTATCAGCTTTTTAAGTGAGGAAATTGAAATGCTCCCCATTTATGTTTGATAAGTCAAATAAGACGGAGAGTGTCTGAAAAGCAACTTCTAATTGTTGCCAAGAGATTCTAATTAGATAATATCTGGATGAGCGAGGTGTTTTAACACGTAAACATGCTCTGATTCACACCATCTCACAGTGGTTCTGAAAGTCCTGCTGGTGGGGAAACCTCCACCCATCATTTACAGTCTTTTTATACATAAATATTACTGTTGCAACTAAAGATTATTTTGCAGATTGATTAATCTGTTAATTATTTTTTCGATTAATCGATTAATGATCGGATTTTTTAAAATAAATTAAGCCAGTCGAAACTAAAACGTTTCTACTTAAGGAGTTCTGGATAGAGCATACGTATTGACAGACATTTTTTTTCTTTTCTTAAATGCAAAAAAATTTACATATTTCTTTCTATTTTGATCCTTTTTTTTTCAATAATAAGTTAAACATATTTATATATATATATATATATATATATATATATATATATATATATATATACACGTATATATATATATACACACATATACATACATACATACATATATATACAGTACTCATGAATGAACATTCTATAAATTCAACTCTATTCTAAATCACTTCTGCTTTGATTAAAACAATTAATTTCCTTTTATAATTATCAACTTTGTTTTATAAACTGGGGAATAGCCTGACTGTGAATGATTTTGAACTTAACTAGATAAGAAACACATTTTGTCAGTACCAATGATTTTATTTGAAACAATTCTATATCAGCCTACCTGATGTAATACATTTTAAAAAGTCAAACCTTCAGTGTGGGATGAAGTCAGTCCCGACAAGCATAATAAACTGGGTCATTCCTCTATTTATAATTCATTCACATTTCGTTTTCTATCATATTTTCATAATTTTTCTCTATAAGCAAGCAAGAGCAAATTAAACCCCAGTCTAGTTATTAAAACCAACATTACCTTGTCTGCATCCACTTTTCCTCGTATGAACTCCATCCTCCAGAACTGCAGCGCCTGTTCCAGAGAGAGGCCGATGCCTTTCAGGAAGAGACCATACTGCATTCTGCCTCCGTGGCGAAGGTGGTGGTTCTCCCTGAGGGCCTGGTGAAGCTGCCTCATACAGAGCGGGAAGGACTTTCCTGCAAGCTGAAAGAACTCTTAATAAGATTCAAACACAATAACTTACTGCCCTACTTTATCCCATGCATGTATAAACAGGAGGACCATTTTCATAAAATAATAACCCTCTTTATTTGCCATTGCAACTTTACAGTTATAATTAATTTGGTTGCCTGTTTTAATTCAACCCTTAGGGAACTATGTCCAGGGAGGCATTCTGGGGTCTGGCTAAGGATCCTTTAGCCCTGGATTAGAACCTGGGAACCTGCAGCATTCAAACTACACAAGAGCCCTGCTCCAATCTCTGGGTCCCCACCCCCCCTCCCCACATTAATCTCACTCAGTGACCACCGTCCAGTGTGTTTTAGAGGTTTCCCTGTTTCAGCACACCTGACTGAAAACAAATGGTTTGTTAACAACCTTCTGCTGGCCCTTAATGACACGCTAAGGAGGTAATTCAATCATGTGAATCTGGGCTGTTGAGGCTAGAAATAATGCTCCGTTAGTGCAGCAGGTTGCATTGCATCAGGGAAAATACCTTGTTGGTATATAACATTTTCTCCAGTACTAGTGGTGCTTTTGGTTGTTTCTTAGGTTAAAATAAAAGTCAACTACAGGACGGCAGTGTGTGCTATGTGCATCCTGCTTCCTTTGTTATTCCACCTCTAGGTGACCAGAAATTCTATAAGCATCTCGTTTCACTGCTCATCACCTTTCATCCAATAATAATAAAAAAAAAGAAAAAAAACATAAAACCTTGCATTGATATTTCTAACAAATATGATTAGTGCAACTTACTGAATCAATTTGCTCTAAGGAGATTTTCCCAACATTCTTTTGGATGCTGTAATCCTGTCCCAAATACGAATGGCTGAAATGAGAGAAGAGGACATCAGGGTTGGTTTTTATAAGAAATACATTTGCAATTAAAAATCAGAATAGGCTGAAATGTGTTTCAGGATAGGAAAACAAATCAGACTTTGCGGCTGCACCTAAACCTGTGCCGAGTCCCAATTGATGGGTTATTAAATCATTATTTGCTCTCCCTATTGTAAAGATTTCTAATTTGGCCTCTCAACTCAACAATATATCCACTAATTCTCAACAACAATCTGAGATAATCCCTACTTCCATCTGTGTATTAGGCTTTTAACTATCAAGGCAAAATAAACATCCCCTGTCAAACATTATGCAAAATACTTTATTTCTTCCTGTTTTTTTAAACTAAAATAAGCACAGACAAAAAAACACCACTTCCAAAACATTTTAGCTAGTTGTAGATAACCATAACTTTATAAAAGTTGCTGGCTAATACTGATGCTTTTACGAAACTTCTATTGACCGCAATGCACTGGTGTTCACCAATTTATTAGTGCATTCAGCAGCCTTGAGATCACGAAAGAGGTATGCATTGTTGCTCCCTTCATTTGCTTTCTATTGTCAATCTTTTGTTTGATTCATTAATAAACATCTTTGTATTGTTTAAAGGTACAGTGGAGGATTTTCGTGAATTTTTGAAAAAATCGCTTTAAAAAAAAAAATGCACATGCATAACCTTGTACCCGCTCCCGAGTGAAAGCCTATTAAATGCGTGCGAGAGCATGCACGAGCCTCATGCACGCTCTGTTTAAAAGTTGCTGTTTGCATCATTCATCCAAGCTTACTTTCCAAAAGTAGATTTGCAATTTTTTTGCAATGTAGGACTATCTTACATAAACATATCACTTATGTTTGATGATCCACCCAGACAAAGATCATCCTCCACCATACCTTTAAATTCAGACTTGCATAACATTTGTCAATATTGTTTCAATGTCATCATGTAAATTGAGGGAAAAAGGTGATATCTGCTTCCTAATCTGTAAAAGCAATGTCAGAAAAGCTCAAAGAAGATTGGGGGTAATTGTACTATTAATAGTAAATGCCAAGAACAACTTCTATAAGAACTTAGTCTTTGTGTCCAAATGCAGAGCTGACCACAGCCACTCCTCTCTCTCTATGTCCCCAAGTGCGACATCCCTTTTGCTCCCAATAGACAGTGTCCATGATGTTACACTCTCTCTGTCCAACTACTGTGATAGCATAACAAACCAGGAGGCAGCCCTCCAATTCATTGATCCTGCATAAAGAATGATGGTTACTGTATATATAGTTGGTAAAGGGGTGTAAAAAACTAATTCGATAAAAAAATAAAGTTACGTTTTCATTACATCCCAAAATGAGGAGCAAAATCTACCATGAAGCATTGATTGTTTGTGCCAAATATTAAGAGGATATGTCATCTAATATGAAACAGCTTTGCTCTAGACTCTTCACAAGTGCAAAGAACATTTTCAGCCGGTTTAAATAAGTGGAGCCTTAAACAATTGAAATCTACATGTAAACTAAACAGTAGAACAGAAAAGCCTTGTTAATACAGGTGCTGGTCATAAAATTAGAATATCATGAAAAAGTAGATTGATTTCAGTAATTCCATTTAAAAAGTGAAACTTGTATATTATATTCATACATTACATACAAACTCATATATTTCAGATGTTTATTTTGTTTAATTTTGATGATTACAAATGACAACAAATGAAAATCTCAAATTCATCATATCAGAAAATTAGAATTTTGTGAAAAGGTTCAAAATTGATGGCCCCTGGTGCCACACTCTAATCAGCTAATTAACTCAAACCACCTGCAAAAGCCTTTAAATGGTCTTTCAGTCTAGTTCTATAGGCTACACAATCATGGGGAAGACTGCTGACTTGACAGTTGTCCAAAAGACGACCATCGACACCTTGCACAAGGAGGGCAAGACACAAAAGGTCATCGCTAAAGAGGCTGGCTGTTCACAGAGCTCAGTGTCCAAGCACATTAATAGAGAGGCGAAGGGAAGGAAAAGATGTGGTCGAAAAAAGTGTACAAGCAAGAGAGATAACCGCACCCTGGAGAGGATTGTGAAACAAAACCCATTCAAAAATGTGGGGGAGATTCACAAAGAGTGGACTGCAGCTGGAGTGAGTGCTTCAAGAACCACCACACACAGACGTATGAAAGACATGGGTTTCTGCTGTCGCATTCCTTGTGTCAAGCCACTCTTGAACCACAGAAAGCGTCAGAAGCGTCTTGCCTGGGCTAAAGAGAAACAGGACTGGACTGCTGGTGAGTGGTCCAAAGTCATGTTCTCTGATGAAAGTAAATTTTGCATTTCCTTTGGAAATCAAGGTCCCAGAGTCTGGAGGAAAAGAAGAGAGGCACTTCATCCACGTTGCTTGAAGTCCAGTGTAAAGTTTCCACAGTCAGTGATGGTTTGGGGTGCCATGTCATCTGCTGGTGTTGGTCCATTGTGTTTTCTGAGGTCCAGGGTCAACGCAGCCACATACCAGGAAGTTTTAGAGCACTTCATGCTTCCTGCAGCTGACCAACTTTTTGGAGATGCAGATTTCATTTTCCAACAGGACTTGGCACCTGCACACAGTGCCAAAGCTACCAGTACCTGGTTGAAGGACCATGGTATCCCTGTTCTTAATTGGCCAGCAAACTCTCCTGACCTTAACCCCATAGAAAATCTATGGGGTATTGTGAAGAAGAAGATGCAATACACCAGACCCAACAATTCAGAAGAGCTAAAAGCCACTATTAGAGCAACCTGGGCTATCATAACACCTGAGCAGTGCCACAGACTGATCGACTCCATGCCACGCCGCATTGCTGCAGTAATACAGGCCAAAGGAGGCCCAACTAAATACTGAGTGCTGTACATGCTCATACTTTTCATGTTCATACTTTTCAGTTGGCCAACATTTCTATAAATCCTTTGTTTTTATTGGTCTTCAGTAATATTCTAATTTTCTGATATGATGAATTTGAGATTTTCATTTGTTGTCATTTGTAATCATCAAAATTAAACAAAATAAACATCTGAAATATATGAGTTTGTATGTAATGTATGAATATAATATACAAGTTTCACTTTTTAAATGGAATTACTGAAATCAATCTACTTTTTCATGATATTCTAATTTTATGACCAGCACCTGTACATCTAAATGCAAATGTTCATATCATGTTAGATTCACATTCATCCCAAATTTGAGACTATAAATAAACACCATTCATTTTAAATGTCCAAATGTTTCAATTACTTTAATGGAAAATGGTTGACTTAGCCGGCATTCAGCCTTTGTCCTTCTTTTTAGGACATGTATTCTAACCTATGTCTGTAACACGCCCCAGCACTTGATAAAGCCATCACTAATAAAAAAAATATGCATATAAAAGCCTAGGAAATGCCGTTTATCAGTTTAACATAAATATGGCAGATTTTCAGAGTAACTTCTGTCCAGTTTTTTTGTAGCTATCTAGAAATATAATTAAAGATGGATCATAACAGCAAGTATAAAAAAAAAAAAAAAAAAACTGAGTCAGCATTTTCAGTTTTAAGCGTAACCCAGCCAGTGATTGATAAAGGCCACAAAAGTCTGAAAGACTGAACTCCATTAGTGACGATAGACGATTTTAATCTGGGTTTCTGGATAAAGTAAAATGACCTCCTGCTTTATGTTACAGAGGAACATTAGTTTGTACATTAACTGACACCAACCCTGCCTATTTATATATAAAAAAAAGCCACACTGACCTAGCTATGCTCCACTTTTAATGGTTTGAATTCATGCTTTGATATGAGAAAAATGAAAAGCATTATGAAATATGAAACATGATTCAATATGAAAATTGAAACTGGTATTAAAGAGTAAAAGATGTTTCAATATTCACTTTTATCATCTTTGAAAAATATTCATTAATCTATTTTTTTTACACTGATTCAAAGTTATTACAACTGTTGACATGTTTCTCTCTCAATGGAACAATTGAATATATGAAAACACTCCAGTTCTGAGGAGTCTATTACCATAAACATGCACATTTGCAGAAATATGGGAAAACAAAAATGTCATCCAGTAGCCCATCTCAAAGATGACAAAGAAAATTACATCAGTAAATGATTTCCTACATTAACATAACAAAACATCCCTCAGAGGCCATATTCTGTTGTTTTTTTTTGTTTGGTTTTTTTGTGACAATATTCTTTTTTAACAAAGCCACTTGCAAAACGATTGCAGAGGTTTTAATCCTGCCGCTTACCTGAGGTGGTTAAGAAGCGGTTGGAGGCGTTCATCAGAATGCACTGCTGGTAGAGAGCGTGCTGTCAGCTGCAGAAAAGATGGTCATCACATGAATAATGTCTAGGTCAAAGGATTAGAAAAACAGAAAGCTGCAGATCTGTAGAACCCAACAGCTGGAAGGTTTTTGCACAGAAAACTAAAACTGAAAATCTTTTAAAGTGTTTTTCAGCATCTTTTTTTACTGAATAAAAACATCATATCAAAGGGCAATTACTCCACAATACCTTTAAGGAATTATCCTGATTTTACTGTCTGCAGTGTTCCAATTCTATGAGGAGGTAATTTTCCTGGTTATCTCACAATTTCTGTAATAGCTGCTTCAAAAGCACAACAATTAACAAAAAACATCGACACAGAGCTCGTGCAACAAGTAGCGGACTGTTAACTTGGAGCGTGAAAGCCTTTAAAGTGCAAATGGATGTTAAAACAGCAGCAAAGCATTGTCTTTAAACATCTGTAGCATATAAAACAACTGTTGAATAATGTCTTACAACCTCTGAGTAAATCTAGCTTGGGTATTCAAATGCAGCTTAAGGCTGAAAACCCATAAGGCCAATTTAATGTTAAAGCAAACCTGCAGCTCTTATCAAATATAATCCTCAGCTAAATCAAACTATACTTTAAATTCATGTCTTCTCTGGCATTTCTATATCTTACCTATTTTTTTAAGATGTAAATCTAAATCATAGAGACAAAGGCGCACATTTCCAGAAAAACAAAAACAAAAAAGCAATAATGTTCTGGACAATTAATCCATTCCAACCATTAGTGGTGCAGATAATAACTTGGAAATGGAAGCCTGTTTCTGTATTTGGCCATGTGTTGGTTTGTCATTAGCTTGCTCTGCCTGTTCCTTGATGGAGGACATGTGCTTAGATCAAACCGAATAAAGAGCATCAAGCTCACTTTGCCAACAATAGAAAATCTGCACCTAAAAGTTTATTAGATTGAGAGTGGACCAGAGAATTGATTTTGTTTTTGAAACCTTTTCAAACAAAAAAAGCAAAGCCTGTGAAAGCTTTAGTGCTTTGTTACACAGCAGGCACTCTGAAGACAAGAGGGTTATTTTACCCATCCTCTATAAATCAGGCGATCATGCTTTTCAAGCTGCTAGAAAAGGGTTTCAAATTAACTGTTTAAACTGCAGATGGTCCTTTCAATTCATATTCTCAGGAGAGCCTAATGCTTAACATAAACACAAATAAGATGTTTGACAAGATGGTCATTGAACGAGACTTTGTTAAACTTAAAATAGTTTGAAAAAAAAAACTTGTTTATATCAGTGAGGAATTTCTCATGCACCGAAAAGGAAGCTTTCAGACCGACTTAAATATGTAGAAATATACACCATTTACTTTAATTCTGCTCGTCCCTTAAATGTAAAACTTGATGAGTTTGGTGTAGCAGACCCAAACATTTAAAATATGCAAACTGTAATCAGACACATTTATTATAAAGGCCTAAAGATATACTCTAAATAAACCAAAGATTTTAAGATTTACAGCTGAATACAGCTGATAAGTCAGATTTGTTTTTCTTTTTACTTACCCATCACCACTTACAAAGAGGTGAAAGTGAAATCAACGATCTAGCACTGTGACATTAGAGTCTCTAATGTTCTCTTTACTATGCTTGCTGCCCAAGCAGTTGTGAACCTTTTCCTCGTCTTACTAGCTCCATCATAAAACCTGCAGCACTTTCTTCTCTTATGTGTAATAACCTGGAGTCGGTTAAAATTGGATTCACCAGGTCAGACCTTTGAGAAAAAGTAGATGCTTTTATCACTGTTATTTGCTAATAGTTCTACCGCTTCCAAAAGAAAGTCTCTTTAGGTCAACGGTAAAAGCATCTAATTAGCACAAGTTATGTCTCATTTATCATACAATCCCACTGGCTTCGGTTTCTGATGAAGTTCCAACTCAGTCTGCAGGCTGGACTCCTCTCTAGCATTGTCGCCTTGCATACATAACAAGGAGTGCCTCCGGTTCCAAAAACCCTGCGCCTCTACTCCCTCGGGTTATTAAGAGTAAACATGAGCCTTAAGATCCTGCACTGCCATGGAAGCTCCACTACAGCTTTTAAAAAAAAAAAAAAGCTACACCAAACATCAGGCCTGCCAATTGTTGCCAATCTTCCCTCCAGACATTTTATGTCGTGTTCGCACACTTATTCTGCTCATTTGAACTCTGCATTTCTCCCTCAAGGCAACAAAGTAAACAGCTGCAATTTACTAATCTGCCTCATACATCCAAGCTCTTAATAAACATGTGCATTCAAATGAAGTTCAAGCATTCAGAGAGACGCTTGTGCATGTAGTGCAACTATGAGGAGAATGCACTGCAATGTTTAATACCATAGAAACGCTCAAGTGTTTAATCTCTCATGCCACTCAAGGAAATGTGATTTGTAGTATTATGACATAACAATCCTTCAGTCACTGTGTTGTTTTAAATTAGAAAACATCCATAGATACTTACTGCAAGAGCTTTAGAAAGCCTTGTGCGGAAATCATTGAGAACAATGGTGACGATATCATTATGAGGAATGAATGCATAGCCGTCCTTCAGGTACACTTTCCTTGCACGCACCAGGTCAAGGGCATCCTGAAAAGGAACCTTTAAAAAGACATATTTTAAATCAACCAAGCCTGAGGAAACCTCGTAGCCACTTAAAATGGAGTAATTTATTCAAAAATATCAGGATTAAGGAGATTTGGGGATTGAAAGTTTGCTGTTTACTCAAAGATTAACCCAAATTTTAGCGCTGCAAGGGAGAATGATTTATGCTCTGCTCAATGAAATGGAAATTACAGCCAATTAGCAGCCGAAGCAACCCCCACACTTAGTGTTCAGATTGTGAACTGAATGCAGCTTTAAATGAAATCACTTATTAAAACTTTTCTTACAGTCTTAAAACTTTAAGTTCTACGTTAATGATTTAACATCTTCTGCCAATTATAAATGTGGCCATACAATATAATCAACTGCTTCAGGGTAGAGCTACACAAAAAGATCATTAAATAAAACTAACTTATTGTTTTTGTCCAAAATGTTTTTCTCAGAATAACGCCATGTATCGGCACAAAAACTATAGAAAATGTATATATTCTCTTTTAGATAAATAATTTTCATGAACCTGTATTTTGGTTGAATGTAAGAGGGCAGAAAATCAAACAAATTGATCCAAATGAGGAAGTTTTAAACTGAAGCCATGATATTTGCTAAAAGACTCAAGGTGAGCGATGATAATGGTTCAAGGCCATTTTAAAGCTATGTCATTTAAAGCTATATAAGACCAGTGAAAAGATGGTTTAACAAGAGAAAATCCCAAAATACTTGTAAGAATCATGGCCTAAAACATTAAATCAGGTTTCATCCAGGCTTTTAGAATGCATCTAAACATGATCTCCTGTCTCATATATCTCATCTAATTTCACACATGCTTCCCATAATCTGGTCAAAAGTGGTGTCGTAACAAAGACAAAAAGTTAGCTGCATTCCACCTCAAAATGCAGGACGTAGCTTTTCAGAGTCTAAATTTCAACGTTTTCTTTGGGAGGCTATCCCTGGACCCCCCTACGCCACAAAGCCTAAAGATGTGATACACCAAGGTGTACACCCTTTGAGATATTCCTAGCTAAAAGCTTGGTTATCATCAGAGTATAATATTATTTACCAGGTCTGAATGTTTTCTATAGAATAAAGATTTTGAACTTGAAATCCAAGTCCTTGGTCCTAACATATGCTGAATACAGCAGATGATCTAACACAGGTTGAAGACAACTGGTGCTCTTTAGCAGGGGTCTTCAACGTTTTCAAGGCCAAGGACCCCCAAACTGATGGCAAGATGAAGTGGGGACCCACTAATTTTGTATGAAAATTACCCTAATATTGTATAAAATTGCGTTATATCAGCCTGCTCCTATAGTCACTCTATTACATATGGAGTCATGTAACAAAAGTAATTTCCCTCTGAGAATATTAAAGTATTTGATTCCTGGTTGATGGGACAGGTGTTGTAAATGAAACGGTGCCCAGATTGAAAGAGCTCCTGAGTGTCGCTGAATGTGCGGATTGATGACTGAAAGGCATCTTCTGCCTCCATTTATCTGTTTACTACAGTGTGTTAAATTCATGTTAATGTGTATTTAAAGACATTTTAATTAGTGGAAAAAATTGCAGGGGGGAACATAAAAAAACTAAAAAAATTTAAAAAAGTAATCAACCAAAACTTTTGCGACCCCCATGCAGTACCTCCACGGACCCCCTAGGGGTCGCGGCCCCCCTGTTGAAGATATCCGCTCTAGAGAAATCCGGATCAAGATCCTCAACATTTTTTTTTTAAATCAAAAATAAATAAATAATAATAATAAAAAAAAAAGTTCTGTAAAATCTGAAAAAACGTCCATATTTTATTTCATTTTATTCTTCAATGTTGCAGCCATCTTCTTTACTTCAGGTTTTCATGTTTGTTTTTACTGCATCAATAAAATGATGTTTGGATTTCTTTGCATCTTTGTACTGAATGATAACTTTGTGCAAGAAAATTCTATTTGATCCTTAAATTGAGTTTAAAAAGAAAATCTGATTTAAAAAGCAAACGAAAATAATAATATATTAAATTATATTATCTCATATGTTATTAACTTCATACAACGTAACTGTGTTTACTTGTGTTTGTGTTGAATTGTGAAGAATGCGTCACATTTAAAGCTCTTTTTTTTCTTGTTAACTTTTGCTGCTTGTTTTTTTAATGCACATTTAAAGACTAACTATTGTCAAAAGTCTACCGACCATAAAAGTCTCAGAAATCAGATTCCTGCTCTGGGGAAAGTCCTCCTCTAGCTCTGGAAAGATGTTTAGGTCCTGTGAAAGATCTGGACATAGATGATTCATTGCCACTAATCTAGGTAAAAAAAAAAACTCCTTAAATTGTAGAAAATTTAGACTTTTTATAATTTATCCTTTTGATCATGCTACTGTAGGAAAGATGACAACAGGAGATAAAGTTCATAAAAACATTTTTTAAAGATGTTAAAACAAATTATGTTTTGTCTTATTCCATTCATGTAGAACGTATTCAGTATTTATTACAGTATTTGTGAAAATCAGCACATCTTAAACAGTTGATCAAGGTCACTTTTCTACATTAAATATGTGATGAATGCACTTTTTTAAATGTTACTACTGAGAGTGCACTGACTAAACACTGTCAGCCCCACTTAGAAGAAATAACTCACTTTGTAGAAGTCCTCATTCTCCAAAGTGACTCCACTGACGATGTAACTGGAGTTAAGAAGTTTCTCCTTCAGTTGATTCTTCTCCTGGACACTAATCTGAAAGATTATGGAAGATTTTTAGTGAAGAGAGTCAAAGGCCTGAACCGTGTCATCCATTAGTTCAATTCTTATTTGACATATCACTCGAAACAATACATTTATACAGCATTTGTAACCTTTTTTCATATTATTTGTTTCAGAATTAATCAATTCATACACTCTTAAAAATCCATATCTATATTGCATTAAGTTAGAAAATAAGATCATTGAAAGAGTTATACTAAGAACCGATTTTGCCTCATGTAAGACAAATGTTAAAGTTTCAAAAAGCCAGAAAAGCAACAACTACAATTTAAAGTCAGTAAAAGGATGATGCTCGGGGGTTCAATGATCAAACTGCCCCACCTAGTGGAGAAAAATATACACGAAACCATTTCTGATCTCTTTTCTACTTTTTTGCTGACATCTTTTTCTTCTTTCTTTATGTCACTACAAAAAAAGACAATATGTAACATTAAAGTTCAAATGATAATATGAAAGATTAGGATATGGTTTGTTTTTATGCCGCTTTAGCTAAATCTGCTTACATATCTAGATTTGATATCCTGATTGGCAGACAGTTAAAACAAGTTTATATGATGGAATATTTAAGCCTGGGTTTAAAATGACAGAATCAAGAAAGAGTATTTCAAAGTCTGGAAGGGAAACACTTACTGTATTGTACTGGAGATTGTTTTTGTGAAGAAAGTCCAATTTCTGTTTGCTAGTTAGGTCATTAAAGCGGTATCTGAAGAGATCAACCTCTTGTTGAATAAACCAGCGTCTTAGATCTTCACTGCAAGAAACCAATGGAAAAACAAATATACATGTGAGCCACATTGTAACCTCTCTTTATGTCAGGAACATGAAAACTCATGACTTACGTCTGACAGTAGGCCAGCCTCAGAATGAAGTGTGAGATGTGGTCTTTTCGTCGTTTCTCTGCCCCATCCTTAAAAAGTATAAAGCGAACAGTAGATAATGTAATACAGGTTCAGTTACAGCCCTAAATTATTTTTCTCGGTAAAGTAAAACAATTACATAGTGCAACAGAAAACAGAAATGTTTGCCCAATTAAACATATTTATATCCACTTGATGCTTGGCCAGAGCTCCCATTTCAAATTGCAACATCAGTGAAATAAGCATCAGTCGAGTAATGGCACATTCTTTGTGAAAAAACACAAATATCTGTGCAGATTTAAAGGTTTTATTTAATTTCATATCATGCAAAAACCCAGTAGTTGCACATATTAGCTGCTGTATTTATTCTAAACATTTTTTTTTGCCAAATATATCTTTTTACACTATATAAAATTCTTACTTTTCTCTCAATCATACATGATTTTTTTGACAACTGGTCCCTATAGAAAATCTATTATAACGCATACAGCCCATGATCTCAGCAGATCAAAGTTATGGAAAGGAGGTTAATTGTATTAGATTGAGTCCATGTCAGCTACAGTATCCAATGTTATAAGCTGAAGTTATTTTCTGACACGCTTTATCCCGAGTGGGGTCAAGCAGGGTGCTGGTGCCTATCTCTAGCCCTCTACGGGAGGGGTAGGAGAGGCGGGGTACACCCTGGACAGGTAGCAGTCCATTGCAGGGCAACACAGAGACAAAAAGGACATTTCCTCAAAAACTTTTGAAATGGTTTAACTTCCCAATCTTAAATGCTGCAGAAATCCATATTTTTTGTGCATCTTTTACCATTAAACTAGTTCCTCCTCCCACTCACTTTCCCCATTAATACATCTCCATACAGTGCTTTCAGACAGGCAGATTCTGGAGGATATCCATGGCTTTCTATTAGAGAGCATCACGTCAGCACGTCCTCATGAGTGCATCGGCTATAAAAGGAATTTCTATCTCCAAACTCATATATATATATATATATATATATATATATATATATATATATATATATATATATATATATACATATATATATATATATACATACATATATATATATATACATATATATATATATATTTATTTATTTATTTATTTTTTTATCTGTGAGCAACAATCTTCAAAAGTAACATAATTAGACTGAATATAAAACACTGCTGTTTGGGTAATACTACAGGATTTGTTTTCAAACTTAATTATTAAAAGTGAATGAGCCATTAAGTGAAGAACTAGATGCATCTGAAAAATGTTTTAGTTAGTATACTCACTTCTGTCCTGTATGGGAAGTTCAGTGTTTTAAACTCAGCTTCCATTTTCTTTGAGTATTGCTCTGAATGTTTCACATAACTCACTCCTAGATTCTCCACCGTCTTCAGTACTGCAAAAGCATCATGGGGAAGACATAATAAAAACACAACACATTAACATCAGCTTAGATTTATATATATATATACATATATTCCCATCACAAGCTATAACCAACACCTGCAGAAATATGATCCAGATAGGAACAATTAGATTGAAGTCTTACATTTCAGTCTGTCAACAGCAAAACTCTCAAATTCAGAGAGTGAGATGTTTTCCAGAGGAGGCTGTCCATAGAACTGCAAAGGCTGTGCATACAGCTCAGTCTTGGGGTTTGGAACAAGCCTCTTTTTTCTGTTAATAAACTGCATGGTGCCTAATGGTGAGAAAACCAAACAATGTTATATACATGCATGTAAAACAACCTTCAGGTCCTTATAAGAGTTATTTATTCTAAACTATCTGCATTTTTATTACAATCTGTGCAACTGGGAGGTAAAATATAAAGGAACCAGGCAGAGGAGATACTATAGCCTGTATGCATATAGATTGTACAATATTAATATCACTATTACCAATTAATGCAGATATCACATTATATAGCTTTATGTCCAAAATTCAGAAAGTCATTAGTGTCTTTATTTCATCTCAGAACCTCTACTTCTAACTTACCTACGATTTTAGGAAAGTATGGATTATAACGAAGTTAGCAAATCTCAACACAAAAGTTAGGGAACTGTCTTTAATTCTGTGTTTCATAAAAACAACAAAATATCATCCTGAATAACTGAATTAAATTAACCCTCTTTCACAAAACCTGGTAGAAACTCGCAAAAAAACGCAACTAAATCCACAGAAAGCTACTTTCCTGTCGAACATTTTGTAAGCTAACACGTAGCAACAAATGAAGAAATCTAAACTGAGCTCTAAATAGATTATGTGAAAAACATTGATACAAATGTTTTATTGACATTACCAGCGAAACAAGGAAGCAGGCCTCAATGAGCTTTCAATCCCGCCAAAGTGGACACTTCAACGAACGCGGCTAAACCTAAACGATGACGTAATGACGTCATGAAGAAGAGAAACGCCTTCAACGTTCAGGGGGCGCTCGTTTTGTCAGCCCACTTCTAAAACACGCCTGTCTGTGTTTCTTATTTGCCAAACTGTGTTGAAAAATAACAGATTTTTTTTAATGTTATTTGATATTGAAAAAAAGGTCAAATTCTGACTTTAATCTCAGAATTCTGACTTCTGATTTTTTTCTTAGAATTCTGACTTTAATCATCAGAAATCTGACTTTTCTCTCAGAATTCTGACTTTAATCATCAGAATTCTGACTTTTCTCTAAGAATTCTGACTTTAATCATCATAATTCTGACTTTTTCTCAGAAGTCTGACTTTTTTCTCAGACCTCTGACTTTAATTTCAGAATGCTGACTTTTTTTTCTCAGAATTCTGACTTTAATCTCATAATTCTGACTTTTTTTCTCAGAATTCTGACTTTAATTTCAGAATTCTGACTTTAATCTCATAATTCGGATTTTATTCTCAGAATTCTGACTTTTTTCTCAGAATTCTGACTTTTTTTCAGAATGCTGACTTTAATCTCAAAATTCTGACTTTTTTCCCTCAGAATTCTGACTTTAATTTCAGAATTCTGACTTTTTTCTCAGAAGTCTGACTTTAATCTCAGAATTCAGACTTTTTTTCTCAGAATTCTGATTTTAATCTCAGAATTCAGACTTTTTTTCTCAGAATTCTGACTTTAATCTAAAAATTCTGACTTTAATCCTAGAATTTTGGATCTAAATGTAGATGGGCACCATGAAGGAAGAGATGTGAGAGCACTCTGCTTCACTGAGAAAAATGTGAGTTGTTTGGGAAGTCCAGTAACACGTTCGTGGAAAATGACAAAATTAGGCGACTTTTTACGTGCCCGAGAGGTCCCCAGTGATGCTATTTCATTAATGGAAGAGCACAAGGGGACTAAAATAAGAGAGCTAATCTAGAAAACAGACATGGCCATGGTTTGATGCTTACATGTTTGTTAGCTGTCAGAATTTAGTCAGAATTCTGAGATTAAAGTCAGAAAGAGGTCGGAATTCTGACTTTAATCATACTGTTGAATCATTTTGATATACAAACGTTGTCATGCAATATTAATATATACGTAACTACAAAACTGAAGGTCTTTGTGAGAGGGTACTCCTTCTATTGTTGTCTTGTTATTTATTTATTTTTGCTGTTGCGGTTTTATTTCATGTTTTATAGTCTACCATTGTTTCCGGAATAATAACATTCATGAGTTGTTTTCTGGAGAATTGCCATTACTTTGGAAACTTAATTTATTTTTTTTATTTTTTATTTTACTTAATCTTAAAAGCAGCCAGACACTAACAGTAAATTTTCGAACGATTCACAGTCGTGACTCGTGACTTTGGAACTAGAAACGATCCAAAGGAAACAGGCATGCACAACTCACAAGTCTGCCAACCGCCATAAAATCCCATAAGAAGAAGAAGAAGGAAACAGGCGTATTCCTCTCTTGCGTTCTGCACTCTTTGGCTCCGCTGCTTAGCAACAAGCATTAGCGACTCGAGCCCCTGCTAGCATCTCAGCTCCGGGTAGAGCAAACGTAGCTTACTAAACGATATGAATGTTTTTCCACCCAGTTAATGCTTTAAGAGTTGACCCAACTTTAGCGACTAAATACATTGTTATTCGCAATTATAACGGGCAAAATGACTTATTCTGTCCCCTTATGAAACAGTAACCATTGACGCCCAGTTGCTTTCTCGTCGAAAAGTGGCTAACCTGTGCTAGCTAACCTTAGCATCCTAGCCTGGCGTCTCCACTGGCTGCAGAGCGGAGCAAATCGTGGACGTAGATATGTCATTGTGGGCTGGCTGGCCGGTTAGCTGACCTAATGTTGGTGAAGAAGTGGTGACTGTTTTTTATTGTTATTTTTATTTTATTTTACAGGTAAGTACAGAATTACCATATTGTGTAGTTTATATTGTCTCCCATTCATCCAGACTTGATGCGGCTGCGTCAGCTAGCTTTGAGGAGCAGCTGCTCGGCTCTTGCAGTTGCTCCATGCCAGCAACAGGTCACATCTTGACCAGAAAGGAGAAATAGGTGGCAGGGAATTAAAACGCACATTTATTCTCATCATCATTAGAAAACCTACCCTAAGCATTTAGTGTGAGCAAACTGAGAGAAGGAGCAGAGTTATATGTCACTGAGTTGATTAAAAAAAAAAAAAATCTAAATATGACTTTCGGCCGCCTTTAGGCCTGTAAAATAACTGAATCTGTGAAGATCTCTTTCCTCGTTCAAAACACATGTGTATTGGCTTTCACATGTATTATTCAAATGAAGTGTCTGTTATTTTCAGTGCGCACCTTCTGTGTTTGCAAACTCACTTTGCAGTGTGAAGGGTGGGAAAACAGCTTTCTCATGGGGCCATTTTTCTTCCGTTTGATCTTTAATATCCTGTGAGCAAAGTCTTATTTATCAGGTACTTTAGTATATTGTGGCACACTTTGAGTTCACTTTAAATAGAGACAGACAGAACATCTGGTTAATAGTGTGTTAATTTGAAGCTGTTGCAGAACTGTAGAGCTCCACTGCTGCACCAGTGCACCAGGGAGCGTTATCACAGATCCTTCCTCCCAGCAGCTGGAAGACTTTATATAATAAGTAAAAAGTTGTTACATTCATGCTGATTTTTGCTTAGTTTCTATCTTAGTTATTAAATAACATGCTGCTGTCATTTTAAACATTTCTGATGTTGCTGTTATTTTCAAATGTCCATTACTGTAAAAATGTCTACAGCTGTATATTGGTTATTTATTCTCCACATGCATAGTATTTATATTGTTAAAACACTTTACGGTACACTCTTCACTATTATGTTATTTTTATATACTCTTCTAAGGTCCACATTTGTGTGAGCATTTTTTCTACAATCTTTTTGCTGCTGTAACACAAGAATTTCCCCATTGTGGGACAATAAAGGGATTTCCTATTCTATTCTATTCTACTCTACCCTATTCTATTCTACTCTATTCTATTCTACTCTATTTTCCCAGTAGTAATAGTGTGTTAATGTTCTGTGGTAACTTGGTATATAGTTAACAGCATATGCTTCAAGTTTAATAAGTTGAGTGAACTCTGTGAGATCTGTGAAAATCAAAGCAAAAATCAGCCACTTAGTGTTAAAGATGATCTGACCAAGTTGTTTAGCCACCATAATTAGTAATTATATCACCTGTCATTGTTCCTAATCAAAACATACTTACAACAGGCTACATGACAGACATATTTCATTACTTTGTCTTGCCTGTGTGAAGTTTAAAATTATATTAAAATGAAATAGGAGTCTTTGAACCTCTACATTGGATTGTGAAAATAAAGTAACTAAACAGTAAAAGCAATATTTTCTTTGTTGGTTTAGCCATATGTGTGATGGCATGCATGATGGAGCTTAATTATAGCTGATGAATAATGATTTCCTCTGCAGAATCAAACTCTGTCAGAGGCTGTCAGAGTCGGCCGTCGGTGCCCGCAGAGAACAGCTTTGCAACAAATTTGTTGTTTTTGCATTGCAGTCAGTCGCTGCATACATAAAGTGGAGGAAGACGCGGTTGCCATGTGGAAGCAGCACTTCTCGTTACTAATGGGAGAATAAACAGGCTGATGGCTGCTTTAGTCATAATCCCTGTGGAATTTATAATATTTATTTTCTTCTTTTAGTAGGCATTTACAGCGTTAAGCTGTTTGTTGACTAACAAATGACATCTTTCCTGATCTGATCAGATGTATGTGTTGGTCACTAAAAGCCTGGGAAGCAATCCCTGTTGGCTTTGATAAATGGAGAGCATTTAAAGTCATTTAAAAAATGTTTTTTTTTTCCTATTTACTTAAGTTATATTAAAAGATACCTTGATTTTTTCTTTTTTCTTTCTTTTTTGTATCCTCCTATTAAATGTGTTCCTGTTGCTAAAACACGTAGTAGAAGATCCTAAAGTATGTTTGTCGCGGTAATTGAGCAAAGGTTAACAAAGTCAGGAGCTTGGACTGCTGTGATGAAGACTTTAGTCAGCGTGTTGGGATCCTGCTCTGCCGCTATGCCACCTGTCGCACCACATTTTACTCACTTTGAATATTGCAGTTGTAGCTATAGATGACTATGAATATTTTGTTCTGTAGTGACAAATTGTAATGATGAAGAAAAATACAGTGTACTGAAACATTTCCCCCCTATTTTATGGCAGAGACAAAGTGGATGTTTGTCCTAACATTGTTTGCATTGCCCTTTGTTATGAATTGGGTAAATATAGTTTGGTTCTTTATGCTTCCTTTGTGTACTTTTAGGACCTGCATGTCCCCTGTGTCCACATATTAATTTAAATTTGATTATTTTAAATTTTGTTTACTTTCAGTTGGTGTATGTTAGCGTCGCATCATTAAAACCCCTGAGTGAAACCAAGAAAACCAGCCACCATGTTGGAAGAGGACATGGAAGTGGCCATCAAAGTGGTCGTAGTCGGGAATGGAGCTGTTGGGAAGTCCAGTATGATCCAGCGTTACTGCAAGGGCATTTTCACAAAAGACTACAAGAAGACAATTGGGGTGGACTTTCTAGAAAGACAGATTGTGTAAGTAATCCCAGATGTTGTTACACTCTGAACACTTTCATTCATATATCAATAGTCTAAAAAACAAAAGTAAACAATGTTCCTACTCTCTTGCATTCCTCTATAGTGTAAATGATGAAGAGGTCCTTTTAATGCTCTGGGACACTGCTGGGCAGGAAGAGTTTGATGCCATTACCAAGGCTTACTACAGAGGTAAGATCATACTGATAGAATATACCAAGAGGCTATAAGAGGCGTGTTGTCTCTTGAATATATTCCTTTTTTGTCACTTATCAACTTTGAACTGTAATATTTGTTTTTTCGTTTGATAGATCAGTAGCCCATAAATGTAAATTGGGAGGACAGTAATTGTTAAACATCTTTTACCAAATACGTATCTAAAGATGTCTCTATATGTACTAGAAAGTTTTACTTTTA